CCCTAGGAATCTTAAAAGCTAATTACATAAATATTCTAGAAAGATAAACCACAAAGTGCTACAGCTTCCTTTAGACTTCTGGCTGCCTTTTATTTTTATTATTATTTTTAAATTTCTCTAAAAAAAAGAAATAAAATTCCACTTTATCAGTGACATTTGGCTTTTTTTGCTCTATTTAAAAAGCATGCAATTTTTTTCCCCAGTAAGCTGAAAGACAATCTCCTTCTGGAATGAGAGTCTACAAGAGGGTTAACAGCTGCATCTTGGCAAAGCCACACACTAAGGTTTAGAAATTACAGATTAAAAACTGGAATTAAAACTGAGTCTATCTACTTACCAAGAACTTTTTGTGGATGCAGCTTCACAACTAGTTATTACAAAGAGGTAAGTTAACTTTAACTTAGACCGTCAAAACAGATAGCAACAGACTCCAAGGAAACCTGTACTCAACACTGTTTATGCATTTGCCAAAAATTAGATTTAAAAAATATCCTTAACCACTGAAAGTATTCTCTGCTTTCTGGCAAATAACAGAAGAATCTGAATCAGTCTCAGCCAGATCAATTAGTGGGATTTGCTTCAAAACCATCCTGTTCAATTAGTGTGATTTTCTTAAAATGCTTTATCTCTTTTACTGTTCTCTTGCAGAGGGTCCTTTGTCAGAAGGAAAAATCGTTGGAGAACCTTTCAGAATATGAGGCACAAATTCAAGAACAGCCTGCTTTGTTGCTGGATATTTTGAAATTGGCAGTGACCACTGGAATATATAAGACCTCCCCCAGATTTTACTTATATCTTTTTTTTTCCTAAAATGAAATTTATGAAGCAATAGCTCTATGTGGTTTTCCTACTTATCTTCTAAATCTAGTTTCCCATTTCTAGTCTAAATCAAACACAACAAAGATTATTAGGGCTGATGAATGCTAAATCTGATCATGGGGAAACGTTTACAACTAAGCTGCTAGACATTTATATATTGAAGTACTTGGTGCACGTGCACTCATACAAATAAAAGTCACTGTAACGTGAGAAACTTCACTTACAATTAGAGAAATATGAATATGCACTGCAGGAGGGTGTGGGAAAACATAACATTTGCAGCACAGAAAATAAGATGGCCAATGAAAAAAAGAATGTCACTGTCTAACTTATTAAAGTTGTTAGGACTGGAAGGAATCAACTTGGTATTTTATTCTTAAGCATACCAGCAGTCAAAAGAATGAGCAGATAAACAATTTCCTTGGATATCCAAACAGTGCTAAGAGAATTTACCAAAAAATTATTTTTTTCTGCTGGCCAAATAAGATAGGTAGCAGAGACAGACTGTCAGCCCCAAGTTACTCTGGACTAAAATTAAGGGTTTTATGCAATTCTGTTTACCTGCATGCTTCACTGCTTTCACTGTTTTCTGTATTTCCCCCCAGCTGATTACTAGTTTTAGATCCATTTTCCTGCTTTGGCTCCTGCTGATCTTCTGGCAGTAGCAGCAAGGCATTTCGTAGACAAATGGCTGCAAATTCCATACTTGCTACAGGTATTGCTGAGGACTGCCCATCACTTAAAGAGACACAGAAGTTAGCCAGTGAGTAGCAATCCTACTAAATTAAAATATAAAAGCAGAGCTCCAGAAAGATCCGAGTGCAGAGAAAACTTTATCCTAAAAAACTGAAATCATCTTTTAATATAACACATTTAATTTATAAAGAAGTACGTATTTTGCTATTCATATATGTGGAAAGTACAGCACAATGCCCAAACAGAGTGAGCAGTTACAATCACATTAAGAAGTTTTCTTGTTTTTCTTTATGTCCTGAAGTTTTATGATAGAGCAACTAGATTCTTCCTGCACTTTAGAAAAATGGATTACTGAAAAAAAATATATTTTAAGTGAGAAAAAAGAGGACAGATGTAGCTAACAAAATACAAACTTCAGATAAATGATTATAAGCTTCAATGGCCTTTTTAGTTACAATGAACACACAGTTAAGCCCTCTGCTGGCCATCATAGATCAGAGAGCCAAATTATCTTAAGGACTCATCAAGCATTTTAGCATGCCGCTCTCTCTTCTGGACATTAATAATTCCACAGTTTAAAAACTGTCACAGAATAGCTGTTTAAAATCCTGATAAGCAGATATTTACAAATCTATGAAACCAAAATAAAGAGCCCACGGAAAACATACTTACTTATAAACAACGTTCTGTATTGACTGGGATGCCAGGACTATCTTACGGTGGTAGCCTTGACCTACTATAGATTGCACAATTCCCTTTTTGCTGGGAAGACCTTTAGTTTCTTGTTCTGATGTCTGAAAGGAAAACAAAAATAAAAGGAGGACTAAAATATAACAGATGTTGAATGAGAGCTTAACAAAATATGTGAAAGCTGGAAGATGACTTTGAACTCTGCTAAAATGTAAGAATTAGTAGTTTATATGGATACAGTTTTAAATAATAAGTACCATGAAGGATCAGGGACCTTCTATTGTCTTTGTGTTGCACAGAGATTTTACTGCACACACTGCAACCACAGATTAGTTACGACAGCTTGTCTGATAGCCCACTGACCTAGTTTCTCCTGTGTTTTGAAAGCAAAAGAACAATGAACCAAGTAGTATTAAAAGAGCTGCTAGGAAATCTAAAAAGAAATCATATGATCAGCTAAACAAAATTCAGAATTGGCACTGAATGCTTGCCACCTCCTCTCCCTGCTTCCACAGCACTCAGGACACGCTCTCTGAAAAAGCTGCTCTCAAACTGTTCCATGGGGAGCATGATGCTGAATTACAAAATATGCAAAGTTACATTAAATTAATATGTTAAATAGATTTTTGAGTATGCAGACATTCTGGGGGTCAAACAAACTTAAAGCAACCTAATTGTCAGTCCCGAGAATTCTCTTTACACCATATTTACTAGGGTTTGTTTCTTTGTTTTACTATGAGCCATCTCAACTTTGTTGTTAAGTAGAATAAGTTGTGGAGAGTTGTAAGGAAAGATTTATCCTAGACCTGTATTTGAAAAATCTATCACTTTTCAGAAAATTTATCTGAATCTACTTTGATATACTGACATTATAGTGGCATTTACTGTTAAACAGAAACAAACACAAATGGTTAGTTTGGGTATGAAGAATACATTTTTAAAAATGCATTTTAAAAAGTGCAGAAGGGAATGATCTTCCATCTATATTTTATAAACTAAAATACTACAGCAAGTGAAAGCTATACTTTTCTGGTGTTCTGAGCATAAATATGCACCCATACTTAGATATCAAGGAATAGTATTGCAAATTGAGTTACAAGCTCAAATTTAACACACTACTGATTTTAGGGCCTCACTTATCATGTTGCAAATTATCTCAGAATTTAAAGACACTTCCCCTTTAATATTAAAATAATGCAAATTATATTATTTTCTTGTAAGGATTACAACTTTAGGAAGCAGCAAATTGGGATTTTTTGTGTCACAAACTCAAGGTCTCTGGTACACCACACAACATCACAACTGTAGGAGGAAGAAAGATAGGCTTCAGGAGCCTGGCATGATCTACTGCTTCAGCCAGTCTGCAGTAAATAAAGAAGTGCCCCACAAGGGTCTGCATTTCCCTCACCCAGACTGTTAAACACTGTTCTCATAAACAAAATCCCACCTTTGTCTTTTGCCCCAAAATCTATGCTAATCCAGTCTCCCATATCCAGCTTTCTCCTAGAGGTGATCAGCTGTGTCTTCTTTATCTGTGTTAGACTTGTAACCAGCAGGATAGACACAGAAAATAGCAAAATTAGAATGAAGAAAGCTGTTCTTCCTGCACCTGTCATGCTTTATAAAACTAAGTACACTGAACTATCTGACAACAGCTACCACATACACAAGTCAAAGCCAGTGCCATTTTTGACCCAACACTCCTGAAGCTTCAATGCTGTGCCTGTAGAGTGGGGATTTAAGCAAACCTCCCCCCTGTGAAGCTGTAAAGCTGTTAATAACTTTCTGAAATCTGCTGAAATAGAGACAGCAGAAGAGTTACAAGTTTTGTATTTGGAAGGATTTGGATAGTGCATAGTTTAAAATGGTGCAGAGGCCACCCAGAAAGGGAAAACAGAATTCAGAGCGGGGAAGTTCAGAGTGACTATAGACTCATAGAATGGTTTGTGTTGGAGGGGACCTTAAAGATCATCTAGCTCCAACCCCCCTCCATGGGCAGGGCCACTTCCCACTAGACCAGGTTGCTCAAAGCCCCATCCAACCTGGCCTTGAACATCTCCAGGCCAGAACACCCTCAGCTTCCCTGGGTAACCTGTCCCAGCGTCTCAGGTTTTGGCTGGATGAAAAGAAGGAAGAACACATGCCAAGACTATAGTGGAAACCAGGGCACATTTTGTTGTTATCTACATCCACCGTAGTCCTTTAAATTAAGACCACTCTGAATTAGGATAGTGGATTTGCAGCAGACAGAATTAAACAAGAAGTGCTTAAGGAGTTTATGTTACTTCTACATCAAGAAAACTAATAATAATTGAGAACATCCCAAGAAGGAAAATTCTCTTTAAGCAAATACTTTCAGTATCCTCTACAAGAGTATTTGCATCTTCCAATAAAATTCTAGGACACAGTGCTATATTTTGCTTTTAACAAGATTATTAATCAGTCTGATCCAATCACCATATTTGTGAAAACAAAAAAACAAACCTTACTGTCTGCTAAAACAGTAACAACACATTTTCAGTTATATCTTTTACACACTAGTATCTAGCCTTAAAGGAGAGACAAAGGATGTCTACTGGATAGTTGTGTGTTTTCTCCTACTACTCCAGCTAAAACTTAAGGTATAGTCTCATCATTTCAGTGGCTGTAATGCAACTCCTAGAGAGTCAGAACATAAAAAATCCAAGATGTTTCAGTCAAAAATCATCCCCCCAAAAAGAAAAGCACCACCTTCCTCCTCAAACCATCAGCAACAAAAGCTATCACACATGTTTCTGTGCATCAAACCTCAATGCTAACATTAAATATCAAAGAGCAGCCATCAAAATGTTCATTCCTTAGATACTATAATTGGTCACCAACTCCTTTCTTAATTGCCATTTCTGCAATCCAGGAATGGAAAACCTTGGAAGTACAGAACATAGTACATAGAAAAGACCTTGTGCAAGTTTAATTCCTCTGTTCACACAAGAGACACAGAATTACCTGTGGGGTTTTTTTTGTTTGTTTGGCTTTAATATATACCATATATGTGTATCCATAATACATATATATAATAAATCAACTCAAAATATTTTTCTGCCAATAAGTGTGGAAAGCTGAGGCATCATAAAATATCCATAAATAGTAGATAAAACTATTAATGTTAGTACATTTAAAATAGAAAGAATGCACTACAGAAAGAACATTTTTCTTGGGTGATACCTCATTGGAGAATACTGACTTCTTTCCAAATAATATTTTAATGTTTATTTCTAAAATTATTTCAAGACAAAGTAAGGTAAACTATCAGATGTCTTAGCAAAAGCTAAAGTACTCTAAATTAATTCTGGAATACCCATTCAGATTATGAGCTGGAATTCCAAACGGATGTGATGGCAAATTGCCAAAACAAAATCATGTTTAAATAGCATCTCCAGCAAAAACTTGTAACTTACAGTAGAGCTATAACAGCCACTTGACTGCTTTCTCATGTCAATCTTTTGAAAAGCTTACTCAAATTCTTCTGATTTTAGAAAAGTCAATTAAAGATTGTGTCTCAAGACACTGTTTCTATAGTAGTTTTTCTCCACCTGTTGCAGCTTCAGACTAAACAGCAACACTTATATGTAGAATTAATCTGGACTTACAGAGAGGTGTTGCAGTGTCAGGCCTTTAAAATGCATTGTTCAACCCCAGATATTACTTCTTCCTTTCTGATATCAAATGTATTCCATGACTATGATCAAAAGAAGGAATTTGCAAGTCTACTTACCCCCTTATTGGCAGCAATGCAGCATTCTGCTATTCTCAGCCAAAGACGAGGGTTTGAGTGATAAACCTGGACTGCCTCAATCAGGCATTCAAAGGCAGCTAAGGGCCTCCCAATATGCAAGAGCTGAATGCCACAATTGTAGAGTAACTCATACCGTTTGTTAGTCAGTAGCGTGCACATGGGTCTCCCTGAAAATTTTTTACCTGCAAAAAAAGGATAACTTAATATTTATTGGATGGACAGGTCAGGAGAGCTGAAAACATAACTCACGGAAAAGGAGGGAAGCTGTGGGAAACACCCAAAAACTGCCTTTCGTCACAGAAATTCACTAGCCTCTCTCTGGAAATAAATGCCTTCCACATCAAAGCTGGTAACAAAGACAAATGAACTGTATTCTTAATAAAGGTTGAAGTACATTAAATGCTAAACAGGTATGTTCATTGTCACTTAGGGTAAATGTAATATAATACTGTTGAAGTAATAATACTCACCCAGATCTGAGCTACCCGTTCCTAGCTGTGCACACGCATTATCATTTTCTTGCAAAGCTTTTTTAAAGTAAAAAATTCCTAAATTGTGCTTTCCCATTGCAAAGTGGATACAGCCAAGATTGTTCCAGAACATACACCTTAAGCATTCACCTGAGAGAACAACAAAAGACCATTTTCTTAAAGTGAAAAGTGTTATTGAGCCCACAAAATGTTCCCATCACTCTCTCATGGGTCAGCATATTATGGTAGTTTATTTAAAATGTTCTTCAGCAAGACATTAATGGATTATGTAGTTACATCCCTGACTCACAAGCATTTCCATAATCTGTACATCTGTATACCACTCTAGTTCTCTTAGACAGTTAACCTGAAATGAACTATATGTAAGCAGCCATAGATTTCCAGATCTTATGCATGATATTCCAGAAGAGCCAGGTATCAGGCCAAATTGTCAGCCTGCAAGTTGACATCAATTGTCCTGGACATTTTCACAGCATTTAGCATACAAGCATGTCACTTTTTCAAATGACTCTTATAAAAGCAGAAAAGTTCTCAAATTATACTACCTGTTGACGTTTTATAAAATAAACAAACATATACACCTAACCATACAAGCAGGAAATGCACCCTCCTTCCTAAATACATCATGTTCAGGTAACACTGTAAGAAGCTTCTTCTAAATAATAAAGGACAGAAAATTTTGACTTATCTGCCAGTAATTTAAGTTTTACAGGGTTACCATGATAAAAAAAGAACAAGGAAAAACACAACACACCCTAAAATTCCAAACAAAGGAGAAACAGACCATTAACATACTAACCAGATATTATTTTGATCATAACCTAAAAAGACTATTAAGTGAACATGGTATTGTGCAAAAAAAGCTAGTGAAAAAGTTACATGAAAATGTTGAGTTGTATGAGAATTTCACAAAATGTTAAATTATAAAAAGAAGTTCAAACATAAAATCTGTCAAAAATATAAGTTACAGTAAATTCTAAAAGAAGCATCAAAATATGCCAGAATAGGCATTTTGACAAATATTTTTAATGTTTACCATGAAATATATTTGTAAATACAGAAGCTTACAAAATACACTCAATCTTGTGATTCCCAGGGTCAACTCTGTGACTTCTACAGTCTAATTGCAATCTATGCAGCAATATCTACTAGATAAAAGATTTTAAAGCACTAGAAATTAAGAGCACTACCACAAGAATATCGCTGAACAAAGCAGTAAAGAAATTCAGTATGCAAGATGCAAGTCTTTTTTGAAATACTAATTCTCTGCTGACAGATGCCAGCTTTCTCTCTGGATTTTTCAATTGATGTTTAAACAGTCAACCAAAATCTCAAATATATTTCAATAATATCACATACAGTGAGTGTATATATGCACAACATATGTATTTAGAGCATATAGCTAACATTTATATCAAAAAAAGTGTACACATTCATGTACTGTTTTATCTCTGTGCATGTGTATACACACATACCTTCTAGATATAACAGTAACTTCAAATGATCTACCATAGAAGTCAAACCTTAACACTCCATAAAACATTTGTTTTTCCCCCAGATAATCAATACAACTGCTATCACCTCCTCTCAAGTACAAAATGAAACCTCATTTCTAGATCTAGTAGATTGCCTTTTTTTTCATGTCTTGAATTAGAGACCCAGATATAAGCCTTGCAAATATTACATTTGCACCTTCACAAATCCATTCTCTTAGACATCCACTGCATTTTCTAGAAAGATGTTAAATGAAAAACACAACAGTGTTACGTGAAAGATGAAAAACTTATCTAGCATAGAAACTCGTGACATTCTGGGCCCTTAAGTAATCATTAATATGCTTTAAATGAACATCAATTAGTAGTCCAATCATACTACAGATGTACATACTTGCAGGATAAACCTATTTAAACAGGATAAACCTGTTTTTCTATTTTACCTGTTTTCATGAAGCCTGGATGTTCAGCAATGTTTGCACTGTTTAGAAGCTTCACCGCTTTACGATAATTGCCCCTCAAATATTCAAAATTACTTTTAAGAAAGAGAGAAGGAGCTGACTGTGAAGGAGAAAACAATAGTTAATTAAACTCTTGTTTTATGATTTCTACTGCTAGTGTTAAATCACTCCACAAAAAGCTTACCCCTGCTGCCATTTTTTAAATACATGGGCTTAGGCCTTAACACTTCATGAACTGGCATTTCTTTGTTGAGCATGTGATTAACCCTCACCTCCTCCAAACTACAAAACTATGCATGCCTTTTGTTACTGCTCTGAAACCCAACATTATTCTAGATAATTCTGTCATGGCAATGGCTAAATGCAGAGGATCTTTTTGTTTAAGAGGATCTTTATCCAACCTGCCTTCTAGTACACTTCTCCCCATGCTTCCCTCCCTGCGGAGTTCAACAACTTCCTCCTGGGCTGTGATCTTCCTGGTCTGCCAACAGAGACCTCATGATCCAGAAGGATTTCTGTCAAACTAGCAGCTGTTGAGACTGGCAACAAAAGGGAAGTGCTCTCCTCCCATTCCCTGCTCCTCAGTTAATGTAGAATTTATCTGGGATGGTGGACGTAATTCTGAGTTGAGGCCTCCTATATAAAAGAAGAAACTGCTTTCTAGCAAGAGGTAAGCCTCCAAAAATTGTCAACAAAAAGAAAAACCCAAAAAACTGCATAACCCAGGATTAATCTTTTATGAACTGGTTTAAACCACCAATTACATCAGTTTGTAATACTCTTAACATTTATAGAAAACTGAAACATGTTTTGCACTGCTTGATTTATAAACCAAACTGAACTGGTTTATTATATAGTGTTTGGTTGTTGTTTTGACATCATTAATAAAGTGCATTTTTCTTAACTCTAAATAGTGCAAATAAGAGAATTCTACACTAACTACACCTGCTGAAAAGAGAAAACAAACCCAGCTGCCTACATAAAGCATTATTTCAGACATCCATCCTCAGTAAGACCATTCTTTGTAAAGACAGTTAGCAACCTCAGTTCAGTTCAGATCAAGATTAGAAAAACAATAGACTTAATACTTACATTCCCAGCTGTATTCATAACAGATTTGATCTCCCTCTTGCATGCTTTCAGTGACTTCATCTGGATATAGGCTCTCACCTTATACTGTTAAAAAATTAAAAGTGTTAAATAAAAACTAGTAACTTGTGCAGGGTTTGCAAGATGAAACATATCTAGAAATTTATTACAGAATATTTTATATACATCTTAAAAAATAGGTAATAAAAAGCTGTTCAAAAAGCCTTCCTGAAAATGAAATTCTATTCAAACTTGCAGCAACAAATTCATAGGCTTCATATTTACAGTAAGCAGATGCACATTTTGTTCAATGCTGAATAGTTATTCTATATTCCAAATCAGATACTAGCACTTACAATGACAAACTAATTAAACTAACGTAACCTCTTAATTCAGACATTTACCTACTAAACTGAAAACACCAATAAGTAAAAGCTGAAAGAGAAACATTTTGCTTCTTCACTTTTTTTTTCCCCACAGAACCATACAGTGAAATAAAACCTTAGCTGATTTAGACTGATGGACATCTAACAGATACAAAGTCAGTGCAGCTAACTGCAGTTTAAAAAAAATATAATAAACTGCAAGGATTGAAATTTGGGATTTTTTTGTCTTAGGTCAGTTTTTCCTGTACATGGATCTTAAAAAAAGGCTGAGTTAAGTCAATTAATTCTTTTGTTTTACAGCATCAAATTCAAAGAGAGAGAGAGTATCACAATTCATGCTGAACCAGATTTGAAGCAGCTGACACTCAGTTTTAAGAAAAACTTGGACTGATGTTCTTGTATTAATCATAAGCAGATACTTACCTGATGTATCTTAGATTTAGCAACTTCTATTAAAGTTCCACTTTCAGCTTTTTGATTTGAGGAGTCTTTATTTGCACTATTACCTGACTGAGTGTCAAACAAAACAAAAAAAGGGAAGTGTTACTAACAGTAATGTTTTAAATTCAATTTACAGATTCTTTCATAAGCTATTTTTATCAATCTCACATGAAGTAAAATATTTAATACCCAGAAATACGCAAGCCAGTAAATACTGTAAATTGGAGCTTAAAAATGAAAATCCAGAACAACCCCACCAGCCTATGAAGAGCAGAATTCTACAGTAACATTAGTGTTATGTTATATATTGCTCTGCTGTTGAGATATTTTAAGAATTCTCTTAGCTAGAAGGATGATACGCGTATTCTGGAGCCTCTATTTAATATTTTATTAAATAAAATTACTGTGCACTTTAAGATAAAATGTTTTCTTAAGTGGGACATTCCATCAACAGGAGAAGAGAAAACTGTCCTCTTTTTCATTCCAAGCCACTACTTATTCTAATTATTTTTTCCCAAAAGATACAGACAAAAGACTTCATTTGAAAGTATGCCCCACACTTTTAGAAATACTAAGTATAAAAGCTTCTTGATTTCCCATACTCTACAGAATTGCAATTCCTCTCTGATACTGGTTTCTCTTCCAAACTTAGGCTCTCATATGGTCATAATTCAAGACAAAAAACCAAAAATATGTATATTTGACTGTGCAGACAACTGTCTTTCCAATACTAGTTTCTGACATAAAAAACAATTCTTATCTCCCAGGGCATAAGGGAGAAGGGTAGAAGAGCAGGAATAAACAGCTGCTGCATACAGTTGACTCAGTTATTAACACATTAACACATATAAACATTATTTATTTATTATTAACATTATTAACACATAAATTGCTGTCTGAAGTTTTCTAAATCTAACAGTTTTATAATTTCAAATTATTTAAAAAAGTAATATTGGATTGAGTTATTGCATGCTTCTAGGAAAGAATTAATGGCATTCATACAGTTTTAAAGTTACCTCATTTTTTCCATTCTTGCTGTTATTGTTGCCCTGTGAAATCATTTTTTCCAGAACAGCAAGTAGATGTAAGGCCTTTTCAGCTTGGTAAGTTAGCAGGTATAAGTCTACAAGTAAGAAGCACACAGCCTGGGCGAATTTCTCCTCTGCAGAAAGCAAAGAAGTAACAATTATTTTACAGCTCTAAAAACAATCCTTCAAAACATGACTGAATTTAAAAAAATTTACTACAAAGTGCATCTATGCAACATTATGAGAAAAACAGATAAGAAAAAAAATGCAGACATCTACACAACGTAGACAAACACATACAGTAGAAAAAAAAACATATTTAAATGGCATCAGCATAAAAGCACAGACTAAAGACAGCTTAACACATATTTCATGTTTATTGATTTTGAGAATTGGTCTAAGCAGATCAGCACCAAAGATCCAGTGTCTAAATAGACAGTTAGAACCATGTGCACACATAGAATCCCATAGAACTTGAAAGGATTCCATACAAACAGATGTCTGCTTGGCTGGCTTCACAGAGTAATTCCCAAATAGGCATATTGAAAGTAGAGAGGAACTGAAGGAGAAACACAGTAGTGTTTACTTAATTTATTGACACACACACACCCCTTCAGCCTTGTCACCTCTAAAATTCAACAAGGATTATTAAGTTACTTGGTACACTTACGGCAATTCCACCATACAGGGTGCCACAGCTTATAAAAGCTGGAGCACATACAGTTAGGGAATGTAGATATTTAAGTTTGTAAGTACCCTGAAAAATACAGACCCACCCGTGAAGTTGTATGATTACTCAAAATAATAGATTTTAAATAATTTAATTAGCTTGTACATATTATTTGTATAAATACCTTTTAAAGTTGTCAAAAAAGATTTCAGTTTCATTAAGTAGATATATCTGCTAAATATCTCTGAAGTACCTTCCCCCCAGATTCAATTGTTGGTCATCATAAAAGCAAAACATAGTCTTCATTCCAAAAACTGTCTAATTTTTTACAACCCTATTGAGCAATTCAGAAATCACTTGTCTGATAGTGAGAAAGCCCAAATGATCTTTTAGTTATTGAATAAAATTAGTCTTTCCATCTACATACCAAAAGGTTCTATAAACTGGTAGAGCTTCTCCCCAACTGATATTGCTTCAGTATATTGACGCAGATGATACAAAATAACAGCTTGATTGTAGTACAGCATACTATTTTCAACATCATCTAAACCATCCATCTCTTCAACAGCAGAGTGAACCTGAAAAAAAAACCCCACCAAACCCACCTCATTTCACCACTTTCAATACCCATGAATTTAAAAAGCATCAAATATTTTACAAAATTAATCCCTCTAAAAATAGGTCAGTAAGAATAAAAAGGCAACAAACCTTATTGTTGTTCAACATCGAGCCAGTACAAAAAATAACAATTAAATAGAAGCTGTCAATTGACCAGTAAAGTATCTTTTTCACTTTTGCATTTTATATTCAATTACTTCAAACTATTTCAGGTTAAGGAACTTTCTATTGAAACAATGTAGCAGGTCTTTCTACAAATATAATCCCTAGAAAGTTTAACCTTAGGATCAATTTCAATAACAACTAGAAACACACCTATAAAAGCAGTGTCCTAAATGACAAACAGATTCAGAAGTTTAAAAGTAATGTTACTTTCTTCCTCCTTTATCAAATATAGGAGACAAAAGGCAGAAGTTTTTTTCCTATTTCACTGGAGGATGTAAGCATAATCAACAGGATTCAAAATCAAGCACTGTGTCAATATGTTTGCATTACCTGGTTCTTCAGCTGGTTAAGGGTTTGTCTCAAATTGTCTGTTGTGGTCTGGTTACTTCTACAGAACTCTGCAACAGCAGTATTCAAAGTTATTTTGTAGTCATCTTTGTTGATGTCTTGAAGGGTATTTAGGTGTTGTAAACAGGCATCATAGTTTCCAGCCTGGAAAGGGCATATATGTCAGAAACATGCATTAGAAGATACAAAGTTTAAACTAAGGTACTAGTCTAAGTTTTAATGAAAGTATCCTCTGTAAATTTAGAGAGCAACATAGTATTTTCCTCATCAAGGCAAGTAAAGCAAACTAAATGTCTTAACACATACTTCATCATTTATACAGATTAATATGTATGAGAAGTAAGCCTTAAAATTGAAGTGACATCCAAAGTTCAAGAATAATTTTGTGGAGGAAGGACAAATGGAGTAGTCAATTAATATAAAGAGATGTTTCCACAAAAAGTGTTATTCTGATTTCTCTTCATCGTATTATTTTGAATTTCAATATTATTTCCTCAGTTTCCATAATCTTTCCCAGTAAAATGTGCACCGAGCAGCTGCAGTTGCTTATGTAAGTCCCAGCCATTTATGTCCATTGTTCATCTGCAGAGACTGTGAATTATGACTTAGTCTGTGGGAGTCAGCTTTAGACAGGTTGGAAAAAGAGCGTATTTCTTTCCCAGTACAGGTTTAAATAATATTTTTACAAGTATTAGCTGCTGAATGAAGTATTCAATCACTTAGGCACGTCTAAACAGAAACTAGGACCCAAGCATGATGCTCCTCCAAGGTGTGAATTAATCAAGAAATCCCTCTTTGACCTCAGGAATAGGCAAGGACTTCAGATGGCTCATCTCTTTCTGCTTTCTGTTTTAGTCTTTTCTGTATTTATGCAGGAGGATTTTAGCAGCATCGGGGAATGAAACAACTCTAGACTCTTTCAACTTTATTAAGCCTAAATGATCCTTCACACTCCACTGTTCAATTCCTGTCCATGATAATCACCAACACATCTTCCCTATCAGGATTACTTCCAATCTGGTCAATCAGATATGCAGATTTGTTTCAACCTCTCTCAATGCTTCACAATCAAAAACTATGCTCTTGAGTACCAGAACCACTCTGTACCTCTTCCTACTTTTTAAAGTGTTGTTCCACAGAACTTCTCCTGGGCTTATGCCTTATTACCTCTATTAAGTGAAAAATTACAACAGAGAAGGGCCCTGTGGTCCTTCTGCCTTCCCCTAGAAAAGCTGTCTTTCTGTCACTACTCTCAACAGAGCCATCCCAGTTTCTGCAAGTCTCCTGTGAAAGTTACACAATTTACAGGGAGGTGTAGCAGGACATGGAGTGATACTCAGTATTTCCACAACCCTGAGTATTTACAGCATGGGTTGCCTAGTGAACATGTGCATAAACACAGGAACTTGAAACTCAACTGCTGGCATGCTCTTTAATTGAGACAGTTCATCTCCCAATTATTTTCTTTATGTATTCACACTCAGAGCTTCTCTTCAACAGGAACAGCTTTTGGATCACCACACAAGGCTTCCCACTAGAGGTGGACTAAAAACCTTGAACACTTAAATGCTCAACTTACTGAAAAATAAAATTACAAAAAATGTTTCTGTCTTAGCTCAAACAAGGACATTTTGTGATGTTTTTCCTCAACCAATGGTCCTTTACCCTACTTTACTAGACAGGATCTAGAACATAATACTCTATTCCAGTAATTCTATCAAGACTGAAATTAGAAGTGAAATATGATAAAGTAGTATTCATGGCAACCCACAAAGCTATTTACAGCAACTCAATAACAAGCAAAATTGACAAACAAGGCACCAGACTAATGCTGATGACATCTGTCATCACCTCACAACTTCATGAACTTAATGAGTTCTTAAAGAAAAAAATAATGAGATAAACAAGATATGCTGGACCAGTATAAAACTAAAGCTTAAATCCTCAGCAGATTGAAAATAATTTTAGGCATGTAGATCTGTGGACAAGGTGGAAAAAAGACAATTCTTTCCTGTGCTTTCCACTCTCAGAACCAAACGACAATGAGCAAGTTCTTGGAAAAGAGTAACTGAGCTAGAAAGCATTCAAGAAGACCTCAGTGAACATCAGCTGCAGTCAGTTTAAGGACCAACTCCATGTACTTGATGCAACAACATTCCAGACAAACTAAAATAATGAGTGAAACATACAAGCAGGAATCTAAAAAGACAGTATTTTGATTCCCCCTCTATCTATTTAACACATCCAGAACTGAATTTTGCAAAACATTGTGGAGATAGAGATACAGCAATTGAAAGGAAAAGCAAACATATTTCCTGTCACTTGCTATATGAAATAAAATTAGAAGACTATACAAATAAAGTAGTAAACTAAAAGACCTGGTACCTGATTTTTAACACACGCAAAAACAAATATTCCAAGAAACACAAAACAGGTAGTAAACACCGCTCGTAGGTGTTGTGTGTTGAAGAACATACTTTAGTGTAAAGTGACAAAACAGTGCTTTATGTAAAAGAATACAGAAAGATGCTGTCCTGTTTTGATCCAGGATGAAGCCACTTTTCCTTTTATTGATTTTTTTTTTTTTTTCCTTCAGTAAGCTCTCTTTTAACTAGCAGTAAGTGTTCCAGCTAGGACTGATAACACTGGAATGTTTATGTTACTGCTGGGACTCCAAGGTCACGTCTTTGCCCAGCCAGCTGAGGCACAATCAGGAGATCTATGACCCCCCCCGTAGGAGGCTGAGTTAGATAGACAGCAAAATTGGCCAGAGATACTCAATTTCATATATCTACAAAAGCTCAGATGAAGGTCAGAGATCACAGAAGACAACTTCCTTCCTGCTTCTTCTTCCCTTCTCTTCCCTCCATGGCTGGTGTCCAGGGAGGACTCCATCCATCCATCCATTACCATCAACCCCCAGGCTCGAGCTCTCCTGACCCTCACCACTCTGCTCTCTCTCCAGCAGCGCCAGGACTTCTTGGGACTGTTTGCAGTTCAGGAGATGCTGTGGGAGTTGATGAGGGTGGGGGGAGGCAAGAGGCTTTTGCACATTTCTGAACACATTTGTAAATAATTGTACATATTTTTCTTTTATCATTAGTGTTTAATTAAAGCTGTGTAGTTTAGTTTTCAATCCAGAGAGTCTCTCATTCTCTCTATGAGGGTGGGGGGAGGCAAGAGGCTTTTGCACATTTCTGAACACATTTGTAAATAATTGTACATATTTTTCTTTTATCATTAGTGTTTAATTAAAGCTGTGTAGTTTAGTTTTCAATCCAGCCAAGCCTCTCTCTCTTTCTCTCTCTCATTCCCTACCTGGGTGGGAGGGGATTGAGAGCATTATTGTCTCTGGTTTAATTGCCAAACCTGAGTTAAACTGTGACAGATGCTAAAAAGAAAAAGGTTCTTTTAAATCCTTTAACACAACATTTTTAGCTTAAAGCAATTGAATTTCCAGAGAGATCATGCATCTCCAACACTGATACAGAACAGCAGCCTGCTTTTTCTAATTAACTCATTAAGCAGCTTTTAAGACTACTTAGTTTTGAGAATCAAGATTAAATGTGCTCTTGCACACTTCATTCAAGTATCCCCATCAGTTTTCTCCCATCAGAGCAGACAGAAAATGTACATGTTGCCTTTATAACACAACTAGTGCTACTTTTGACATAATAACCCATTCATACATTTGCAACTGTGCTGAGAAAACAGGAAAGATAATTATATAAGACCATTTAGCAGTCACGTGGTATAAATCAGAAGTCTCTGAGTTTGGCTTTGTCTTACCAAAAAAGCTTGTAACGCACTGCTTGACAATTCCTTTTCCTGATCAGTAATCCCAGAAGTACTCGCTCCTTCATGTTTCTCGGTACCTTGATCTGTAAAGTGGAGAGAAGATTACAAGAAAGTTTGCAAACATCAGGACAGCTGTTCAGTTTAAACTTTTTGTTCCTTCCAGTTCTCAGGATCCTCCTGCCAGTAAAAGTAATGTTGCTTCCCTGCCACACTAAAACAACTGAAGTTATCCTATACTCCTAGGGAACTCCTCTCCATAAAATATAAATGTAATAATCCTAGCTAAATTACTCTGCTCAATCAATATCCCAAGTCCTGCAAGTTAACTGAGAATGCACACATTTTAGATTTCTCTTTGAAGCTGCAACCATACACTAAGATTACCTTTACTTGCACAAAAATTATCAGTGAAGACCACACAACATAAAGTACCACATTGGGTTAGATGAAAAACCCATACATCTTCTATGCTGCAGCCTAAACAGCAAGCAAGGAAAGATTTAGGGAACAGCATAAAAAACAGCAAACACTGGAACTTCCACACAGCTCCCTGCTTTGGAAGACCAAGTCTCCCTATAAAGAAGAGGCCACAGATAAACCATCATTGTTAAGAATCACTGACAGACCTGATTTATTTTTTAAAGACTCTTTACACTTTTATACTCTTCAATGTACCATACCAAATGCTGTCTAGTGATTATATTGCAAGACCTGAGCAAATGCTACCTATTCACTTCATCAGCCTCACTCCCAGTCTGACAAATCTTTCTTTCAATCTTCTCTCTTTAGAGGTAAGTAGCACAGTTTTTTTCTGCATCTTCCTCACATGCTTTGTCCCAGAATCTTCTCCAGTTCTATTATATCCTTTTCCAGATGAAGACAACAAGAACAATTATGAGGGTGACCTCTTTGAGCATTCATAAAGCAATCTAATGAGGTTTTAATAGTCTTCCATTTCTTTTACGTACTATTCCTAATATTTTACCTTTCGGTCACTGCTGAGCACATTTTCCAGAAAGGAGTCTACGGAACCCATTTATAATTACATAATTAAGAATTTAGTGAAGCTGCATTAAAAACCACAATACAGACATTCCATGTCCAAGAAGCTGAAAAACCCCCACTAAACCCTTCCTTGTACTGAACACAAACTACCAGAGATTAAAAAAAACAACAACACCCAAAAGCACTACACCAGACAGCTTATTTCTAGAAGCACCAAGTTGTGTGCTAGAACACACAGAAATCATTAAATATTTTTAAAACAGAGATCTCATAAACCAGCAATGGCTTCCATTTCTGCAGAAAATGATTTCTTGAATTTCACAGAGGAAGCTTTGCTCTAACCTACCTTTTGCTATCTCAATAGATTAGGCAGGCTTTGTAAATTCAATGTCTTCTTTTTCTTTCCCAGAATTCACAGATGTAATGAAAACTCTGCTAATTTTGTTTTCACTTTGAACAAATGAAAACACTTACCTGTGAGCTCCACTGTAAAATCTATTCCCCATCACCACCAATATATTTGGATCATCAAGATGCTAATTAAGTTAGGATTTTAAAATATCAACAATCTCAAATGCCTAAATTACAAAATAACCCACTGTGACAAAATTAGGGATTCAGCAATTTCAGTACTCTGGGGGGTTGGATTCTCAGAGGATACAGAACTGCACGCACTTGCTATAAAATCTGTGTGTAAGGCATTGATCAACACACTTGCACTGCCTTTTCCTTGAAAGGCAGGAGACAAAGCTAAACCAAAAAAAGCTCAGATGCGCCCAGATTTTCTGCAGCAAATGAGGAAAGGAACAAGAAGTACCTCTCCTTCAAGCTAAATATAGATCTGATTTCTGCTCTAAATCTTATGGTTATACAACTGAACAGAAAACTATCACTCTCTATGGATCTCTAGAACAGCAGCAGACACATTTTCCCTTCATCCTTTCATGCTAACAGTTAACATTACCTGCTTCACTTGCTCAGCATGTCTTTCAGATTATGCTAGTAGAAGTAACCCTAGTGCAAAGACTCTCAAACTTTTGAAGCTCAGAATACTCAGTCTGATCAAGAGGCTACCAGAGTGCCATCAACTGCAGAGTGCATTACTGATTAGTGCCATTGCATTCAAGTTTGTAAAACAAGCATCTCATCTGAAGCTGGGCTTATGGAAGTCTGAATCCTACAGCAAAACATCTTCAGTTAAGTGAAAGATAAACCAATCAGATCATTGTCTAAGTTGTATCATAAAAATACCACTTATATAGCTGTTTTGTGTATTTCCTACGGAAAAATCAGGACAGGTCTGCAGATTTTACTGTGTCTCTAGGTCTGCTGGTAGGTAAAAAAAACACAACAACAACAAAAACCAAAACCCACCACACCTGGGGACTGCTTCAAGCAAAATCAGAGCTGTCCCTTTTCCTATAAAGTCAGTTTTATGGCTGAAATCCAATTAACTGCAGTTATTATGACTCAGTAAACAAAGCAAGTTTGCGAAACCTGAACTGAAAGCTTACGGAGAAAGAACAGAACTGAAGTCCAGCTGATGTAGCTTTCAGCACAGCTCTTTCCTTTGGAAAAAAAACCAAAAACACAACCACCAAACAATACTTTGGCTACTCTCTACCCTTTTTGCCCAAATACACTTGAAACCTGTTAAAGGTCCTTCTACGCTACTGTAATTGTGCCACTCTTATTTAGACCAGGATCTGCTGCTTCAGTTGATCTTTATTATCAAAAGATCTCACAGGCAGGAGTCACCCAAAAGCTGGCTGGCTCAAGATACCAAAAACCCCCTGCACTTCCACTTGAACAGGGGGAGGGAAAAAAAAGTACTCTTGCTCTCTTGGCTGTAAATGGCTACTAAGAGCTTGCAAATAAAACTATTATTTCCATATTTCTTGAGGCACTGGAAAATGAAACAGGTGGGTGGACTGTACCCTGGCAAAGCATAAGCATGCTACTGTGATCATCTACTGATCCTGGGCACTCTTGTTGAAGCATGTGCTGTGGGTAACACACGGCACAGCAGGTCCTATCCACACAGTAGCTGCGATTATCAGTTGGAATATCCGAAACAGCACAGATTCTCTGCTTTACAAATTACAGGACTCGATCTATCTCTGCAAATTGTATTTACACGCAGACTTGTTTAACTCTTCATTTTCTCCAACTTTCACCAGTACAAAACAACCCTAAAGCAAATACACGTCAGACTTGCGATAGGGGTAAAATATGCAACCTGAAAATAGATGAAAACATCAGCTGCTCGGATTTTGATCTGTGGAAAGCTGCTACACTGAGTTTGAAGTTAAACAAGGAAGTCAGGGAATTCTCTTCCCAGTTAGCCACCCTGGGGCTGAGAAGCAGAAACATTGTGTCACAGAGGCTTGTTTGCTTTACAAAAGCAGGCAGTTTCTCCTAACAGAAAGTTACATCAGGTTGGACAGCAGACATTTGGGAAAACTGTCTTCAGGACAGAAGAACAAGCAAAAGCATTAGACTGCCACCTGAAAAGGGAGACTGCTCACCTTATCAGCTTCTGCCACAACAGCATATAAGCAATGAGAAGCCAGACCTCCCACGTACACATACCCAGACACCTGGAGAGTGACTGCAATCGCTACCCTTCTCATACTCCTTATCCACACCTCCAAGGCCTGTGGCTCCTCAGCCCTCTATATTACATCCTGCATGATGTGTGCTGTTGACTACCAGAGCATCTCTGGAATTGTGTTGGGTTTTTTTTAATTTCCAAACTCTACAGACAGGGGGATAAATCTCTTCTTTGTAAGTGAAGGAATCTATCACATGACTCTTGCTCTAATAGTACTTGAAGGGCATGAAAACCAGCCAGAACATTCAGCCTTTTTAAGAAAATAACAAGTTTGGGCACCAGAACTACTATTTTTTTATGAAGCACTGCACTACTAGCATAAATATAATAGACCACTTCAAACCCACACACTTCTCAGCGGGAAGTTATTTGTAACTCACTGCTATGAGCAATGCAGTATGTAGAACACCTTGCCATAGCTCATGTCTTTGATTAGTTTGGGCACATACTTTTAAGCAAGTACAACAAAAACAGACCTTCAAGACTCTGGATAGCTTGGTGCACATAATTCAGTACAGTATACTCATTTTTCCCACAGTCTTTTTCAGATAGTGAGGAGTTTTGTTTTTAGCACCCAGAGAAAAGCATGCTTGAGGCTTTTTGAAATGAGGGTCCCACCACGTAAAACCAACTGAAAAAAACCCAAGACGAGCAGATCCCTTCAGCTTTTCCCCACATCGCCCCCTTCTCCGACCCCGCGGAGCTGCCATCCGAGGGAAGGAACTTTCTCCACAGCCAAGACTTGTGGCACGAAGGGTGGCCCTACAGCAGAGGGACGAGCAGCAGCCTGTCAACGCCAGGGAGCTACGCAGCAGCTGCCCTTGAGGCTTATTTCGAGTGTTTACCGGATGATTTATTTATTGGTTAATCTCGGTGACTTCTCTCCACAGGGTCTTCTCAGGCCTGAGTTTCCGAGAGACCCCCTCACCGCTGAGGCCAAAGCGGCGGTTCAGAGGGAATCAGGCCGAACCCGGGGGGTTAAGAGGCAACACGAAGCGCTCAAGCCCCCCCAGCGCCCCCCGAACACGCCAGTTTAACAACTTAAAGCCCAACTTCTGCAGCGGTGACCGAGCCCACCCCAGGCCCGGAG